TCCATTCACATTTATATCTACAAAAATAAAAAATAATTATGATTTAAAGTATTAAAAAGAATATAAATGTGAGTGGATGAATGGGTAAACGATATCCTATTAACTTGATTTTTTACAGGCATGTTCTATTTAATGTATTCTAAAATATAAACGGTTCGAATTATCGAAATGGGCCCTGAAATGGGCTCATTTTTGCTGCACAACAGTTGCTGCTGCACAGCATCCCCAATTCCCTACTTTTCTGCACATCTTTTCGTAAAAAGTCAAAAAGTTACTAAAATAATATGTTCCTAAATGAGACCTTAATTTGTAATTCAGTCCCTATCTTTCATCAAAAATTACCCATGATGCCCTACCAACGATGGTGGTTGGTGAGCTTGAAGATCACTTACCCGCGCTCAATATCGATCAGACACTAGCCAACATGATCAAGGAGAAAAACTCCAACCAACTTCCATCAATTTGGAGGAGTGAAAGGCATGGCTGTTATTCTTGAAACCGATGAAAAAGACAGTATGAACGGTAATGACGCTCATCTCATTCACCGATAGGCGGTTTTCGGTTCCAACAGGTGCCCAAAACTGCCATCGAAATGTTTTCTAAGTTTTGTTATTGACGCCATAGGATACCACCATAATTATCCTCTTGATCTGTGTTGTTCTCTCTCTTGGTTTCGGAATGATGGAGGGAGTATTGTTTTCACTGTATTTCTAGTCATAGCCATTTCAGCAGTAAGTAACTTTAATCAGAGTAGACAGTTCGCGAAGCTCTCCAAAGAGAGTAGTGATATAGAAGTTGAAGTAGTGAGAGATGCACGACAACAACAAATATCAATCTTTGACGTTGTAGTCAGTGACATTGTGTGTTTGAAGATCGGTGATCAAATACCCGCTGACGGGTTATTAATGAACGGTCACTCGTTGAAAGGGGATGAATCAAGCATGACAGGCAAAAGTGACCATGTTGAGATCAATGGCACCAATAATCCCTTTCTTCTCTCTGGTACAAAGGTCACCAACGGCTATGGCTTCATGAATGTCACTTTAGTTGGCATGAACACTGTATGGGGCGAAATGATGAGCTCAATAAGCCGTGACTTGAATGAACAAACCCCATTACAAGCTCAACTCAACAAGCTGACTTCTCATATCAGCAAGGTTGGTTTGACAGTTGCTTTCCTCGTCCTTGCGATTATGATGATTCGGTACTTCATAGGAAACACACAAGATGAATTGGGGACCAAGGAATTCAAGAAAGGCAAGACCAAGATCGATGATGGGATGAATGAAGTTGTCCAAATCATTGCTGCAGCACTTACTCTAGTGTACTCTATGAAGCAAATGATGGCGGACCATGCCATGGTTCGGAAACTCTCTACGTCTGAGACTATGGGTTCGGTCACAACTATCTGCACAGACAAAACCGGCACACTTACATTAAACCAATTGAAAGTCACTGAATTTTGGCTTGGAAAAGAAGCAATGAATGACACAAGATCATCAGATATGGCACCCGTGTTCTTGAATTGCTAAAACCAGGTGTCGCTTTAAATACTACAGGTGGCATTTATGTACCGTCATCTGCATCCCTCCCTGAAATCTCCGGTAGCCCAACTGAGAAAGCACTACTCTCTTTGGCTCTGTTTGATTTAGGTATGGATATTGATCAACTGAAGGCAGAGTTTCAGATTGTCCATGTCGAAGCTTTCAATTCGGAGAAGAAACGAAGTGGGACCATCATAAGGAGCAGAAGTAACAATACAGTTCAAGCACATTGGAAGGGACAGCCGAGATGATCCTAGCAATGTGTTTGAATTATCATGAGAGAAGCGGGACGAGTGAAACCATGCATGACTAAGATAGAATACAGTTCAAGAAAATTATTAAAGATATGGCAGCTAAAAGCTTGCGATGCATCGCCTTGCCCACAACATAGTCACAGAAGATAATGTCGAGAATCACCAAAGAGTTGAAGAAAACAGACTGACCTTATTAGGGTTAGTTGGTTTGAAGGACCCCTGTCGACCAGGAGTCAAAACAGCAGAAGAATCTTGTAGAGAAGCCGGAGTAAATGTCAAGATGATCACTGGAGATGATGTGTTCACTGCAAAGGCTATAGCAACTGAATGTGGGATTCTTGATACTACAGAGGATTTGAACAGTGGAGCAGTAGTGGAGAGAAAAGACTTCAGAAACTTCTCCGATCAAGAGCGAATGGAAAAGGTAGAGACCATCAGTGTGATGGCGAGGTCATCCCCATTTGACAAGCTTCTGATGGTACAATGCTTGAAGCAAAAAGGCCACGTAGTAGCAGTCACAAGTGATGGAACTAATGATGCACCAGCATTAAAAGAAGCAGATATCGGGCTTTCAATGGGATCCAAGGAACAGAAGTGGCTAAAGAGAGCTCGGATATAGTCATATTGGACGACAATTTCAACTCTATCGTAATGGTCTTGAGGTGGGGAAGGTGTGTATATAACAACATTCAAAAATTCATCCAATTCCAACTCACAGTCAATGTCACCGCACTCGTCATCAACTTTGAGGCTGCAGCTTCTTCCGGTGAAGTTCCATTAACTACGGTCCAGTTATTGTGGGTGAACCTCATAATGGATAAGTTGGGGGCTTTAGCATTGGCCACTGACCAACCCATCAATGATTTGATGAAGAAAAAACCCGTGGGTCGATTTGATCCGCTCATAACCAATGTGATGTGGAGGAACCTCCTTGCTCAGGCCTTGTACTAGATGACAATCTTGTTGAAACTTCAATTCAAGGGAGGGTCTATCTTTGGTGTGAATAAAAAGGTTAAAGACACCCTCATTTTCAATAGCTTTGTGCTCTGCCAAGTCTTCAACACGTTCAATGCAAGGAAGCTGGAAGCAAAGAACGTGTTCACAGGGATACTGAAGAATAAACTGTGTCTTGGGATTGTTGGGATTACAATAGTTCTTCAGGTGGTGATACTTGAGTTCCTCAAGAAGTTAACTAATACAGAGAGATTGAATTGGGTACAGTGGATGGCATGCATCATAATTGCAGCAATGTCATGGCCAATTGGTTAGTTTGTCAAGTGCATTGCAGTTCCAACATCCTGAAAAAAAGAAGCATCAACTTCAGATCTCCTTTACATCAATCGGTTGAACTTACAAAGTAATCTTTAGTATCAGATTCCATATTAGTATAGAGTTTATGTTAAAGCAATTTAGACAGTTCTTTTAAATATAAAAGCAGATTACTGCTATATATGTTGAGTTTCTTTGTCATGTTAGAAATTTGAATATAACATTACCTCTGTTTAGAAGTAACAGTTTCAATCATCAAATTTTACTTTGCAATTTAGTTGGAGAATATGGGACAAATTTACAATACAACGTGCTTGAACATCACATTAGATCACTGTATATTTGAATATTTCTCTTTATTTTGAAACAAAGTATCTTCCCAATACCTTCATCATAAAATGATTAAACAATAATATGAATACAAAAAAGAACAAAGAAAACAATCAATTCTAGAAGATATGTTCCCCAAATAAATGTTACAGTGAACAATAGAACAATTCTAAAAGTGGCTTCAAACACATACGCCAAGTATTTAACAGAAAGAAGTCACCAAAGTAATCTTTAGTATCAGATTCCATATTAGTATAGAGTTTACGTAAAAGCAATTCACTTTTTTTAAATATAAAAGCAGATTACTAGTGTATATCTTGAGTTTCTTTGTCATGTTAGAAATTTAAATATAATCCTAGCTCTGTTTAAGAATAAATGGTTTCAACCGTCAAACTTTAGTTTGCAATTTGGTTGGAGATTATGCAACAAATTTACAATACAATGTGCTTAGACATCAGCTTACAGTAACAGTAATCTCCTCAAATTATAAACTAATTTATTTGAATATTATTTCTTTATTTTGAACAAAGTACCTTCCCAATACATTCATCAAAAAATGATTAAACAGTTTAAACTTAATGTGACATGGCCTGTTATATGGGTAACTTGAATTTGAATACAAAAATGAAGAACAAAGAAGGAAATTAATCCTCAAAGACATGTTCCCCAAATGAACATTACAGTGAGTATTAAGAACAATTCTAAAAGTGGCTTCAAAACATACACCAAGTTGAAGTATCCAACAGAAAAAGTCACCTTGTTAAAATATTAATTTGTAATATTTAATATGTTACTTCCCAAGTGGGTAACCGAAATGAAGAAACAGTGAGAGCTGTAGAGGCTGTTGTAAGCCGCACTGAATTGTGGCTGTATGGTGCAGCATACACAACACGGTGGATCAGTGCAGTATCAGATCAGAACTGTAAGATAAATTGATAGAGAGAGTAAATTGTATGTATTTAATTGATTTATGTATTGAATGTGTTATTAAGAATAAAGAGGTACACTCTCCGTTATATAGGAGAGAACATTACAAACATCATCACAGAGTGGTTCATAGAGACCTCGAACAACATTCACCGAGTAAGAGGCGAACTAATCCCTCTAATTTGGAGTGACCCAACCCATATCTTGGGCTGGTACGACACAAGAATCATGAATATTTGGATGAGCGTCTCCATTTTTATCCCAGCCCTTTACCCACTCCCTCACCAACCAACTGTGATGGTCCACTTTCTGACCTCACTATATACTTACCTCTCGGACATCCCAACCTAAACCATCAAACTCAACCAAATTCTGACCCCAACTGTCAGTTTCCTTCTGAACTGCTCCAGTTTTGTCAAAAATTTGATGAATGAGACCTTTCTCCTCGTGCCAGACCCCCCTTACCTGAACTTTCATTATTTGGGGAGCTCTACACGCACTTTCCTAATGTTGGGACAATAGAGAAAGTTGGCATACTCCAATAGGAGGTGATCCCTCTGTTCCCTCAGCGTAACCCTCCAATGAAAGTACTTTTGTGAATTGTCGAGGCACGACAAACCCACATTTTTGCAGACATCTACGTGAACTGCTAAATGAACACCATCCCTACCTTCTTATGATTACGGACATTAGGTGGGGAGAGGATAGAGGTAAAGCCCTCATCTCCATCATTGGATTCTCTTCTGTGCATGTCTCTGAACATGTTGGTTTCGTTGGTAGCATTTGGTTGTTGTGGAATAACTCTGAGATTCATTGCAACATCCTCGCCAAATCTTTGCAGGAAGTCCATGCTTGGATTCAGGTCCCCTCTCACAATTTTTTTTTTTTTTTTTAAATGTTAGTTGTGAGTTGTTACATTAGAAAATCTTCTTACCTTTGGCAAAGTACCTAAGTGCTTGTATTCCCTTAATTCAACCCCCCTAAGAGAAATTGAACCCATGACCTCCTTGAGACTAAGGCATGGTAGCAAACTAGGTTAGGTGTAGTTGATTTGTAATTTAGATTTTTGTTTTACATATATATGTATTTAATTCTAATGCATTTCCTTCATATCTTTTTTTTTTTTTTTGTGTGGTTGTTTTGGTTTTTGTGTAGAATGAAATAAAATAAAGATATGAAAAATCAGAGGTGGTTTTTGAGGCCTGGTGGGGTAGGATAATATATAAACATATATATATAAAAAAAATAAAATAAAGTAAAAATCAGAGGAGGCTGGGTGTGTTGGGAGCTGTGTGTGTGGGGAGAATGGAATAAAAAAAAATAAGAGTGGTTTTGTGTGTAAATAAAAGAAGAGTCGGTGGGCAATATTAAAATAAAAAGAAAGGAAAAGAGTGGGTGTAAAGTGAGAGAGAGAAAGCCACTGAGTAGTTGAATACTCAAGCAATTCACACTGCACCAGGTGGGGTGGTATGGCGTATGATAATATAGTATAATGGTGTGAAAGATTGTGCTACAGCTGGGTTTGCGAAGGTTTAGGCTCTGTAGGTGGGGGAGGAGGCGGAGGAAGATTAGTCTTTGGTGAAACTCTTTCAGTAGGTGGAGGTGGGAAGGAGTGCATTGGCAGGGGAGGAGGCGGTGAAGGATTGACCTCGGATGATGGCGAGGGTGGAGGGTGTGATCTGAAAGAAGGTGAAGACCCCGAAGAGGGTGGAGGCCGGGAAGGAGACCAAGCTCCGTTGGGAGGTAGCCGGCGATGTCAGCGTGGTTGGAGACGCTAGGGGAAAGAATTGGACACTGGGTTGCCTCTTCTTGATCGGCCATTGCTTGTCGTGGTCCGGCTAGCTTGTGTTGCAGGCTCCGGTTGTGAAGAAGTACCCAGCTCGACTTTCGGTCACGTCTTACCAGTGTTTCTTTGGGGTGATACAGTTTTTGGTTATAGCTGCGTTCATAGAGAGAGACCCACAAGCTTGGCTTGTTCACTCTGCTGGAGAGTTGTTCAGCGTCGCCTATGCGGGAATAGTGGCATCAGGGATAGCATTCGCTGTACAGATATGGTGTATTGACAGAGGTGGCTCGGTGTTCGTGGCGGTGTATCAACCTGTTCAGACTTTGGTCGTCGCTATCATGGCCTCCCTTGCTCTTGGCGAAGAGTTCTACTTGGGAGGGATCATTGGCGCTGTGTTGATCATAGCAGGGCTGTACTTCGTCCTGTGGGGTAAAAACGAACAAAGAAAAGGTAATCCGAGGGTCCAGAGAAGGGTTTGGATTGATGAGAGGAAAAGTGGGATCCAACGGTTGTGATCGGATCTGGTGCTGCGGTGGTGAAGTGTTGTTGAAGAATCTGCCATTGAAGAAGAAATTAGGAAAATCTGGGTTTGTCCGGCGGGCGGCCAAGGCGAGATTGCCGCCCGCCGGTGGAACGAAAATTACTAGGTTCTTAACCTAGCTCTGATACCATGTAAGATAAATTGATAGAGAGAGTAAATTGTATGTATTCAATTGATTTATGTATTGAATGTGTTATTAAGAATAAAGAGGTACACTCTCCGTTATATAGGAGAGAACATTACAAACATCATCATGCCAAAAGTGGATCCACTAACCGAAAGTAAATGCACTAATCTAAAGCCTAAAGCACTAACATAAAATATATTAACAGCCCCCCTCAAACTCAAAGAGGATAGGTACTAACCAACTTGAGTTTGGAAAGAGTAACAAAACAGGAAAATAAACTAAAAAATAAAATAGGATAGGAGACACTGTATGGTCGTGTCAGATCGTTTGTTGAAGAAGAACTATGCATGTATTCTTAATAAAGAAGTATCTAAGTTGATAGGAAAACATCAAATGAAGAAAGCCACACAGCATAGCTTTATTGGTTGTTTATAAGGTTGCTTTCACTACGTAAACCCAGAGTTTCTTCTACAGACCGTGAAAAAGTGGTCACGAAATTTGTCACCAAAACATGCTGGACAAGCAGCTTTCAATGGGCCCACCTCATTTTTTAATAATAATAAAAAATAATAAATAATTTTAAAAAAACAACAATAATAATCGACAAATATGAATTCGTTACACTTTTCAAGACCACCTTTTCATTCTCTGAATTTTTCCTATAACTCCATGCCATGTAAGCTTTAGAAATATGAGAAATACAGAAAAGTTTTGTGGTCTCAACAAATAAGGCACTCAGGCTCTCTCTCTCTCTCTCTATATATATATATAATATTAATTTTCAGTCTTGGGTTTCAACTCTCTCTAAACATATATTATATTTTGCACACAATACACAAGGCAGTTACATTAGCAAATCCATAGCAAGAATCATTATTAAGACAATGCCAGAAGAAGCATCCTATTGGGTTAAATCATAGAAGTCAATCATAAAATCATTAAAATAGAAACTAGGTTATTAATATGTACATTTAAATTTAAATTTAAATTTAAATTTATGTCTTCACTTATCTTCCATGAACAAATCAAGAAGTGAAAAAACTCATGCTGATCAAAACTAGTACAATTTTCAAGTCCTTGTCATCAGTTATTTTGTTACTTTGGATTAGTTGGTAAGAACAAACACTTCTACGAAGATGTGTCATGTTGGACACTCGTGTCAGCCACCGACACTCTATTGATACTCCTAAAAGCGTGTCCAATACTCTTTCATAATATTGGACACTTCAGCGACACTTCTTGAATCCTCTTAACACAACCTATGTGATTAATCTCTTCATAATAATAATGTTCTGCATTTTTTGGAAGGAAACTTGTGCACTCTAAATATGTTTTGAAACATTTATAAAATGAATACAACATATGTATTTCAATTTTCTACAATTGTTTTTGCATTCTTTAAAATGCAATTGTTACATGAATGATATAATGCTTAAGCAATAGAATATATATGACTTTTGAATTCTAATTAGTGCAATGTTACTGTTTTTTTTATTACTTTTGAATAAACTATCAATATGTTAGATATATAATAATTTTTTAACGTGCCTCTAGCGTATGCTATTCTACATTTTCTTTTAAAATAGCCTCGTCGGCATGCTCATGTTGTTTCATATGTCAATGTTATTGCCTACTTAGTCAGTAATACTACGTATAATGTCAACTAAAGGCAACATAAATTAACTCACAAGAATATATTCTAACCTAGTAGTAACCTTCAAGAGGAAAAGAAGGGTGAAATATGTAGATAAGTATAACAGTAGTAGTCCTTAAGGCTCAGTTTGGTTAGATAGACAATACAAGAAAGTGAAAGAAAAAGAAAAAAAATATTTTTTTATGTGTTGGTTTAGATAGTCCTAGAAAGTAATGAAAAGGTGTCTGATTTCAAGCAAAATATATAGGAAATTTTATTTTTTTCACAAAACTAGACAATACTTAATCTATTTTCCTTTTTACTCATGCTTCCCTCCACAACTCCTATTATGCAGTGATTTAACTTCTTCTATCATTTTATTGCAACATTTTCATCATATTCAAATGCATGCAAGGAAGCAAATTTTCATTTATCTTTCCTTTTTTTCACTTCGCTTTCTATCATTTGTTTCTTTCTAAACAAGTGGAGCCTAAGGCTCCTTGCAAATGCCCAAATTTTATGCTTCACTAGGATTATTTTTTAGGGAAGGTGCCCAGTCATAGACATTACTGTACCATGGTTATAAATATAATTATGAACATCTCATATGGAGAACTATTTGGTATTAATTTATAGGTGGAATTTCTAACTAAACAGAAACTACACTATTACATAACGTGGATAGAAGAAATAGACATAAACTAGACAATGCACACACAGTTGCAAAAATAAAAATGACCAAACAACTATATAATCAAGTAGTAGACCATACTTCTAATCCTAGGATTGTGTATCTCAGAGCTCTACAAGGCTCTTTTCTCAAAATTTGTAACCCTATGGTTTAGAGGAAGCTACATCTGTAGGTAGAGATAGTATGTGGCAAATATGCTTTGCTTATCAAAGAATCTAACTAATGACAGTTCACAGAACTTATAGCGATCAATGAGAGCCAGTAGAAAAAAAGGCAACAACCTGGGCTATTCTGAATTATTGAGATCGTAATCGTTCATTTTAGTCAAATATTGAGTAGCAAACCATAAATATCAAGTGCCTTCAATTCTAGATAAATAATTTTCTCTGTCAGTGTATATTACTGCATCAAGTTAAATACACAAGTACTGCTGAAAAAAAGAACGGGTTTTAAGGCTGGTTGAACATGCTCTTTGGGTCCCAGGGCATGATGCCGAAAAAATGTTTGATTTTATGCCTGAAATTTACATACATCTATCTAGTTAGGCCCATGTCTTTGGTTTGGCTATTCATCACTATGGCTGTGGGCTGGATGGGTGAGCTAGCCTGGCCTATAAATACACGTAATACTAATATCTACCTAAGCATATAGTTTATAAGCCTAAGATAATATGATCAAATTCCCAAGCTTGCAAAGTAGTTGCAAGAGAAACAGGATCCCAAACATGTGCATAATGTGGATTATTTGGGGAGAGAGGAATCGTAGGTCCTTCAATGGCATAGAAATTCCATTGCATAGATTGAAACGTATATTTGAATTTTTTTATTTTTTTGGTTTGTTTGTTTGTATAGTTGGGAGCTGGGTTTTAAGTATTGGCTAATACGTACTAGGATTTTGGATTTTGAACACCAATATATGCCGATATTGATATGTATTCGATACCGGTATTTAAAATCGTGATTGAGAGTTAGGTGTTATAAACCCTTCTCATGACAATCTTTGAATTTTGTAGAACTTTTTTTATACACATGGAGGTGTACAGGATTTTTTTTCTTCTCTTTATTCCTTTTGTATACAGCTGGCATTCTTTTTATGCCATCTTCAACCAATCATTGCAATTACTTGTAAAAAAAATGAGTGGAACAGAATACCGTATGAACAGTCTTCTGTCAACAAATAATTTAATAAGAAAATTGAATCTAGGAAAGTCATTTAACACATTGTTAAGGTCACATGTATCACTATGTATAAGTTGTAACAAAGTTGTATCTTTTTCAACAGATTTAAAAGGTTTTTTTAGTTTGTTTAGCTTGTACACATACTTGACATCTTTCCTTTAAATTAATTACCGATTTTGGAATTAATTTTAAACTCTTCATTCTTTTAACAGTGCTCAAATTTACATTCCCAAGTCTACCATGCCAAGTATTAGAACATTCTAGATTAGCAATAGAAGAAGTAGAGAAAGAATAACATGCAATTTTATTTAAATTAGAATCCATAACATGAAGGCTAAACAAACCATCACGAAGATAACATTTACCAATAAAGTTACCATTCTTAGTTTTTACAACTTTATTTGATTTAAAAACAACTTTAAAACCATGTTGAACTAACAAAGATGCACTAATTAAATTTTTCCTAATATCAAGAACATGTAAAACTCCATCTAAGGTGATTATATTGCTAGATGTCAATTTCAACCTTACTTGTCGTTTCACCTAATACCCTGGCCAAGCTCCCATTTCCCATGCTTACAGTTCTTGTGATTGATTCCTGATAATAAGGTGAAAAAATATTTTTATCAGCGCACACATGAACATTAGCACCCGAGTCTATAAACCAATCATTTGAGTCAAAAACAATATTTAACTCGGGATCACTAACAAAATACCTACTAGCAAGGTTAAAGGAGCTAGCCCCCACAATCACAACATTAACTTGTGGTTTAGGGGTTACTGGAGGACCACGAGCTTTATGGGGTTGACCTTTCCAATGATAACAATCTCTAGCAATGTGATTAGTCTTCCCACATACCTAACAAGGCACTATTTCTCTCTGAATAATATTTTTGCCTTTTGATTTATTATTAAGATTGTTATTCCCATTTTTGTGTGCACCATTTTTCTTGAAATTAAAAGGTTTGGGTTTTAGATTTTCTATAAAATGTGCCTTGGCTAGAAAATCAAAATTTAAAAATTCAGCTTGTTTTTCACAATGCTTTTCCTCAATATTTAGAGATACTAGTAATTCATCAAAGGTATAATCATCATGTTTTTGTTTTAACATTCAACAAAATTCTAACCAAGATGGTGATAATTTTTTAATCAATGAAGCAACCAAAAAAATATCAGATAAATCCATTCATTTTCTTTTCGGATCATACAAAATATTTTGAAATTCATGCACTTGTTTCATAACCGATTTACCATCAATCATATGAAAGTCTAAAAAAATTTCAGCATAGTAACGTTTCAAACTAGCATCTTCAGACCCATATTTAAAATCAAGTGCTTCCCATAATTCAATAGAAGTTTTTGTACTGCAAAAAATATTATAGATAGAAGGAAATAAAACACTTAAAATCCTACCATGACAAAGATAATCTTTTTCATCAA